ATTTCCGTGAGGGCAAGGTCTCTTTCCTACTGGCTACCGATCTGGCAGCACGTGGTTTGGATATTAAAGGGGTGGAAACGGTCATTAATTACGAAGCTCCTCAAAGCCATGAAATTTACCTGCATCGAGTCGGTCGTACTGCTCGTGCCGGTCGCTCTGGTCGAGCCTGCACAATCGCTGCCGAGCCAGATCGCAAGGTGGTTAAGGCAGCTGTCAAGGCTAGCAAGGCACAGGGAGCCAAGGTCGCAAGCCGAGTTGTCGACCCAGCTGTCGCCGACGGATGGGCTAAGAAGGCCAAGGATCTTGAGGAAGAAATTGACGCAGTGCTCGAAGAGGAGAAGATAGAAAAGCAGCTGGCGCAAGCGGAAATGCAGGTGACCAAGAGTGAGAATATGATTAAGCACGAAGCCGAGATTATGTCGCGACCAAAGCGTACATGGTTTGCAAGTGAGCGCGAAAAGATTCTCTCTAAGAAAGCCGGAGCCGCAGAGCTTAATGGATTGGATTCTGTGAAGTCGAAGAAGGACAAGCAGAAGCTGAGCAATAAGGACAAGAAGCGTCTTGATGACGCCCGCCAGCGTAATGAAGGAAATATTGGATGGAAGAAGGGCAAAGTGGACCGAGAATCTCAGAAGCAAGGGAAGATTCAGAAGGGCAAGAAAGATAATAAAAAGAAGGGCAAGAAATGAAGAAGAGGGAGAGTCGGATGTTGATGGCTACCACCCTACTGCATCAGGACTCTTGACACGTTTCTCTTGCCTATATATATATATATATATGTATGCATTCATGTACCTCATACCTCTAGATATCTTTTAAAAATCACTAGGATTATTCTCATTTGTTAACTCGGGACAACGAAAAATCATAAGCTTAACCTTATACCCGTTATCTTGGACATTGTCATGCATACCGCTGGATCACTGTCATGTCACACTGGGGATCAACAAACTGCCCGGAAACTGTCGGCTTGCCACGGACGAAAGTGGTCTGTTTTGATGGCCTGAGGCAGTCAAGACCTCCGGTCATCGGCCGACTGGGGACGATGAATCATGTTGAACTCCATCTAGAATGCAGATTGCACAAATAGGATGAAAGAACGGGCAATATTATTGCTAATAACAGCTCGATGATTGACCGGGTCCAAAGCGAGGCCCAGTGTGTTCCATTTACCTCTCTCGTACATCGTTAGACCACTAGAACTTTACTTTTGTCACCAACAAGGCGTAGCGGTTCAAGTCTTGAAGACGAAAAGGTGTAGTGTTAGTCACCCCGTCCCCGTTGCCCCATTTGTGGTCTGGTATCAAATCATACGCCGCTTTTGCCATCCGCTGTCGGCGAGAGAAAAATTGAAGCGGAGAGTCACTGCAATTGATTGGGTTGACTCATTGCGCATCTTAAATACCCTCAATTGCTTCGTCTGCGTTCGTTCAAACTTTTCCAGCTTATCTTTTCATTTTCTTCTTGACCGTCGACCTCTCCCCGTGCTGAGAGATTCTAATCCTCGACCATTCTCTGTCTCTCCCTCTCTCTTTTCTCTCCATTCCCCCACTGCGGATCTCACCCGCTAACCGCTACCATGCCGATGTAAGTCCACTGCCCCTCCCCCTCCATAGCTCCGTTATCGTGGAGCTTCCCGTCCGCAGCACTCAACGTCGCGCCCTGCCGCCTATTCTTTCAACTCAATGCACTTACATTCAAATGACAGGCTCAAAGACCCCTCGAAAAAGTACAGACGGTTTAAGCCGCTGCATCTCCCCGATCGCCAATGGCCCAACAAAGCCATCGAAAAGGCTCCCCGGTGGCTGGCTACTGATCTAAGAGATGGCAACCAGAGCTTGCCTGATCCAATGGTATGACAGCTTGTGGGAGAACACGTGCGACTAATTCATTGCACGAGACTAGCTATTCTAACATATCGGGTTTTCACAGGACGGTGAACAAAAATTCCGCTTCTTTAAAATGCTCGTCGATATCGGCTACAAGGAGATTGAAGTTTCCTTCCCATCTGCCTCGCAAACAGACTTCGACTTCACTCGGCGCCTGGTGGAGACTCCTGGCGTCGTTCCAGATGATGTATGGCTCCAGGTCCTGTCCCCTTGTCGTGAAGACCTCATCCGCCGCACGGTGGACTCTCTGAAGGGTGCAAAGAAGGCTATCCTGCACATTTACCTAGCCACGAGCCCATGCTTCCGTCGAATTGTCTTCAACATGGACAAACAGAAGAGTTTGGAAATGGCTGTCCGCTGCACCAAATTCGCACGTTCGATCACTAAGGACGACCCCTCGACCGCCGGTACCGAGTGGCACTTCGAGTTCTCTCCCGAAACATTCTCTGACACGGAGCCCGAGTTCGCTGCGCAGGTTTGCGAGGCCGTCAAGGAGGCTTGGGGTCCTACAGAGGAGGCTCCCATTATCTTTAACCTGCCCGCAACAGTAGAAATGTCGACTCCCAACGTTTTTGCGGACCAGATTGAGTACTTCTGCCGTCATGTGTCGGAGCGAGAGAAGTATGTCGTCTCCATTCACCCGCATAACGACCGTGGCTGTGCCATTGCGGCCGCTGAGCTGGCTCAGATGGCCGGTGCGCAGCGTGTGGAGGGCACTCTGTTCGGGAACGGTGAAAGAACGGGTAACGTTGATCTGGTCACTCTGGCTCTCAACCTCTACACACAGGGCATCACCCCCAATGTTGACTTCTCCGATATCAACGCTGTTATCAAGGTAGTTGAAGAAAGCAACAAGATCCCTGTCAACGAACGGTGGCCCTACGGCGGTCAACTGGTCGTTTGCGCTTTCAGTGGTAGCCACCAGGATGCTATTAAGAAAGGCTTCAAGATTCGTGATGATGCCACGGCAGCGTCAGGTGAGGAAGTCCAATGGGAAATTCCTTATCTCCCCTTGGATCCTCAAGATATTGGCAGAACTTACGAGGCTGTTATTCGTGTCAACTCCCAGAGTGGCAAGGGTGGTGCTGCTTGGGTTATCTTGCGCAGCTTGGAGCTGGATCTCCCGCGCGCCTTGCAGGTCGAGTTCAGCAAGATCGTCCAAAAGAAGTCGGAAGAGGTCAGCCGGGAACTGCGGGCAAGCGAGATCGTTGGTCTTTTCGAGGAGGCATACCACCTCAAGTCCAACCCTCGCTTCAACCTGGTTGACTACAACATCACCACGGACCGCTCAACATCTCCGGCACCTCCCGAGCCTGGCAAGGCTCTGAACACCAAGAACCTCAAGCGGCGCTTCACCGGTGTCATCGAGATCGATGGAGTTCAGCACGCTATTACTGGTGTTGGTCCCGGTGCTATCTCCTCCTTGGCTGGCGCCTTGTCGACACTCGGCATCGATCTCGACGTTGTCGACTACAAAGAACACTCCATTGGTTTGGGTAGGGAGGTGAAGGCCGCAACGTACATCCAGTGCACTGCGGCTGGTAGCAAGGAGCAGGTCTGGGGTGTTGGTATCCACCAGGACGTTGTCCAGGCCAGTTTGATCGCTTTGCTCAGTGCCGCTAGCTCTGTAAGCTCTCTAACTTCTTTAAGCTGCAATCATCATTATACATCGTACTAACTTCCGTCGAACAGTTTCTGACTAGTCGTGCCGGCTCCCCTGCTCCCTTCCGCCCTATCCGCTCCAACACCCTCACTGATGAGGACCTGCAAGCCCTAGAGACCCTCACCGGCTCCAGTGACCTTGCTACCAACCTGGCTAAGGCTGCTAACGGTAGTGCCAAGCCCCAGGTCGATATTGATGGCCTGACGAGACAAGCCGAGAGCCAGTAAATCTTGAGCTTTCTTTCTTACTACCCTTTTCGATATTTTCTCTCTATCTTTTCCTAATTCATGGTTGGGGGTGCATGTCCAGGTTTTTTATTTTTTTTTTTAAGACTGTAGTAGCAGAAAAGCAAGGTCTTAAAAAGCATTTTTGTATGTACAGAATGACATGGTATGAAAGATAATATAATTGAGATGTCAAACTTTTCTCACTTGGTTGTTAAATAGAAAATCACTTGCAAAAAAGAAACCAATTAAACCTCCTGCCGGGTCTACTTAGTAGATAGACTGGACGCCTGAGAGGGCACTCACAGTTTGCACATATACTCTACAAAACGGGCACAATCTGTACCCTTGTACCATCTATGAACTATAATATTATATCTCAAACAGACAAAAGACCGAACACAAAAGGGCAATGGCCGATGTCACTTGGGGATAGCTTTGGAGGTGGTGGATCGCCCAGGTGGATCCAGGAATGCCACCTTACCACATACGGTTAAATCTGACCCTAGTTCAGAAAAAATGTTTGGAATGGTTTTGAAAACTCTTCATAATTATAGATATCAAAGGTTCTAATATCAAATTGGGGATGTGGTTTAGTGGTATAATGTTCGCTTAGCATGTGAAAGGTCCGGGGTTCAATTCCCCGCATCTCCATCTTTTTTACGTTTTTCCCTTTCAAACATACCTGCTGTTCGTCCTAACAAGACCGCCGGGTGTAGTCGCTATGCTCCTGAGTGTTGTTGAATTTTTACACTTGGAGAGCTCTGTTTTCATTACATTCACGCTCGGTGAGGTTAGATGACATGCGAAAGTAGCAACACACCGACCCCAACATCGGTGGCCCTGTCTATGTACGAGATCCCAGCGCCCATTCTATAGACTTTGGGTTGCTTGCTATCCTCAGCAGAAGCGTTGCTTTGTCTTGTCTTTTGGTGGGTATCCTTTGGTAGCTCTTCTCTCTGATACAGGCGAGTGCGTAGAGATGCCTAGCTCCCAACAAGTTAGCCGTTTCATGTCACCTGAGGATGAGGTAAGTGAGGCATACGACTACATGCTGTACTTGAATATATCCTTAACTACTGGGAACAGCGTATCCCATATACCGACAAAGTCACAGAGTCTTCCACTTCAAAAGAACGTGCACATCAAAACCATACTCATGCTATCAAAGCAGGGGACGATACGGCCGATCCATCCACGCTGCGCGCTCTCTAGAGTTCCAGCAATTATCACATCATTCTGGAAAAGCACGACTAGATCGAGTTTCTTTAGGGGCCAGTATTACTCGCATGGTTACGTATTGTATATTGTTCAAGTGATAGCCCAGTTCAAGAATCCCGAGGATATTCAGGCGCTTCCAATGCTTCGAGAGACGGGATGCAGGAGGCTATCTTGAGAAGAGTCATATCGCAGCGGAAAATAGGTGGCTCACTGATGATAATGGTGTGCTGGAGTCTTCATACCCGTATGAAGTGTTGACAGCATGGAAAAATCAAGGAAGACCAGTGAGTGTCCTGGTTCAATCAATGCCCGCCAAACCATTTTGGATTTATTGCGACATAAATGTGTTCCTGGATGGTGCATCAATTAGGGTGACTGTACGGTTACCTTTGACTAAATTTGGAATGACTGGTATAGGGTAGGGATGGTCTAGTTGGAGGAGGAAATTCTCAAACACTCGTATGGTGGTGGGTGTATGGTCCTTGATGAGGCTGTCGCTCGGAAAGTATGGCCCTGTTTCATTCACAAGCAAGATTCCCTGCTTAAGGGTCCGGAGACAGGCAGATGAAAGGTACTAATCTCTGAGACATGTCATGTGTGGGTCTCCTTAATTGACACTTTCATCACATGGAGATCCCCCGGGCTGCGGAATTTTGCTATCGACAGGGCAATAAGGTGTAGAACAATGGTCGTTAGAGAGAAAGATCATCCGGTCTGGCATTAGGGAAGGGTCTGCAGAACAACCCTCAGCTTGGCATTTCTTGTTTATGTGTAGCGCCCATTATTTGAACGCTGGTGACATAGCTGATATCAATTAAACGAACCTCGGCACGATAACCTTTACCTACTACCACCATATGCAGGGCAAGCGGGGTAAAAAGTTCCCCTCATCGTACGATTAATCCATAAGACACACCCAAGAGATTGATTTCCAGGATGGTACATTAAATCTAATTTCTAAACCAAATTGACTTTCACTTTCCCGACCTTGCTGCAAACTATATCTTAAGAGTCGCCGACAAACATGCCTTACTCGCTAAAGGGAAGAAACGTGCTGGTGACAGCCGGCTCCAGGTGAGAGAGCTCCTTATCACTCATTGGGAATCCCCTTTGGCTAATAACAGCTACAATGGCTTCTAGAGGCCTAGGCGCCCTGGTATGCGAGAAGTTTGCAGCTGAAGGTGCCAACGTGCTTATCAACTACCACTCCAACGCAGAGGCTGCGCAGCAATTGGCCGACAAACTTGAGAAAGAGTACTCGGTGAAGTGCCACATCGCTCAAGCTGTATGAATGTCTTCCAGAGAGAATTACTCGATCGCATGACGCTACGTGTTCCTATACTGAATTAACTATTCCAATTAAGGATACGCTCGTGGCCGCCGAGAACGACCAGCTTATTCACACAACAGTGGAAAAGCTAGGCGGTTTAGATATCATCATTGCGAATGCTGGATGGACGCGCTTTACTCGCCCCGGAGACATTTATGATATGTCCCACGATGAATGGAACAAGGTAATCCCCCCATGGTGCAAGAGGATTCCCCGTGAATCAGTACTTATCCGCACGTCTAGTGCTGGGCAGCCAACGTAATGTCCCACCTGCAGCTTATGCAAACCGCTCAGCCTATCATGTCGAAAAACCCCGACGGCGGCGTCTACATCGCAACTTCTTCTATTGCCGTATGCTCAGAACCCATCTCAGCTGATCTTCGTGGCTCTATGGCTGACCCTTACAGGGAATCACAACGAGCGGAAGCAGCATGGCATACTCAGTCACCAAAGCAGCAGGCCTGCACCTGATGAAGCATTTCGCCTTCACATTTGGACCAGAGATCCGCGTCAATGCAGTCTTGCCGGGTCTACTTCTGACGGAATGGGTACGTCCACCAATTAACACTGTTAAACATCCTTAGTGCGGGTGATACTGAGTAAAAGTCCAGGGCATGAAGTTCGGTGATAACATAATCAATGCGCTAAAGGAGCGATCTACTTTGAGACACGAGGTATGAACTTGGATTTGCTGCAGGCCCAAACCGAGATATCGCTAATATAGGAAAACCTAACTAGACGTACCTGGACGACTGTGCGGATGCATACATCAGTCTTGCGAAGAATACGTCTGCGACGGGCCAGCAGCTCACTATTGGTATATTGCACAGTCCCATACACATCTTTCGAGACACTAATTGAATTTTTCAATAGATGCGGGTTTGGCTCTTGGACATCTCCCATCAGCTAAAGTTTGAAGTTTGTACGGTAGACTTTATTTTGATTTCGGATTAGTTCGATATCAATACCATGCCCTGGGTTGAGATGCATCGTTCTGCATGTCCTGTTGTGTGGACAAAACCAAAGCAAGGCCCAAGTAAAGTGAGCCATAGTAATAGTACTAGCAATTATAGTCTATCTTACACAACCAGAAACACTACTCCCTGGAGCGTCCTTCAAATAAATCTTGTTTCCCATACTGCCAAAGATCAGTTAAATCGAAATCCAACGACCACGGTATGAAAGGAACAGAGCCGGGTAACGACTCAGCAAAGAATCCCATGTTATAGTTCTCATGATAAGGATGCTGCTCGGACGGCATCTCATCTGTTGGTAGATCATCAAGATCGTTATACAAGGATTCCCATGCGTTATCTTTAGAAGTTAATTCGTGCGGTAACTCTGTTTCGGTTAAGCTGGCAGGTTCCGTAAGATTCAAGCTCGCATTATACCTTGCGGTTGTCCGCTAGAGTCCAGTTAGCATGTTATATTTCATGCAGTACAGACAAACAAAGCGTATACGTACGTGTGTATCAGCCGTGGAGATAGCACCCTTGTTGCGCGGCTGGACATGGTTATTTGCTGCAGGGCAATGGGGGAGATGCATGGCCGCCTCATCAGAATCTCGACGTGGCCGCTTCGATACGTTTTTCAATTCAACATGCACCTTTTCCACATACTCCACTGCCATTGACCTCATTTTGCTAAATATCTCATAGACTAAATTGGGCAGAAACGTTCCACTGGCTTGAAGACTGGGGAACAGGGAATCGAGGATGACTCCCAGAAGCTGAACGTCTTCAGTGATATATGAATCGCCGGGATTCTGAATAACATTGGCGAAAAGAATAATGAACGCTGAGAGTGAATGATACAGCGTGAGACTAGGACCGGTCAGACATGTTGATTTATAGTACACATCTTGGCGAAGGAGACTCTTACCCAACTAGCATGGTCCTCTTGGGAAAGCCATACTGGGTGATTGCAATCAAAAGACGCGCGACATTTCGAGCTGAATCCAAACATATCATATGCCCGGTATAGACACGATCTCCGATGTCACCACAATCTTGGCGAGCATCTCATGGCGCAGTTCGTCATATTCTGTCAGCTGATCTTGAAAGGCCCAGCAACGATGTAGGGTTGCTAGACAGTTAAAATATTCGAGATGTAACGTAATCGCATGACGCACGTTTTCCTTGGAGCAAACGAGTGGCTTTCCTGGTTGGACGTCTACTGGTAGAGATCGACACCACTCCTGAAGTTTCGTATCCAGCTCAGATATAGTTCGAAATCTTTTCAAAGCCGGGTATCTCCTTGAGCGAGCGCTATATAGTTCCGAATAAACCTCACTAGCAATTCTGCTAAGGTTTATGTGCGCCAAGAGCAAGACAGCAGTCCTGGGGTTTGTAACGGCCAACTGCCGCTCGTCCGGAACATCGATTTCTATATCTCTATCATCAATGGCTGGTGGCCTTCCTAACCTAAGGCTGAGGCTTTTGTCGAGAGAGTACATGCACCAGAAGATAATATATCGCTCAGAGACCTCCGGCGGTGAAAGGCGAGGGTCCTTCAACTGTTGCTGCAAGCCAAGTGAAGTAGCAACCCGTACTGCAGCTCCTAAAGCAATGTATGAAGCTTCTTTGTCAAGAAGAATTTCTGTGATAAAGGCCTGGGAATATACTGGTTAGTCCAAAGCCGAAGTCGAGATCAACAGAAGGGGGCCTTACCATTCCCACCAACGCTTGAACCGCCATAAGATCCCTGCAGCTGAGAGATAACTCACCGAAAACATTCCAGCAATTCCGTAGGTAGTCTACTGCAGTAGTGGGCGCTAGCATTGAGCTTCCAGCACTCGCACTCATATTCTCCTCGTGCGATAGCAGGCAGCCAAGCGCGAGTACTACATTGAGCGAGGCATACCAAGATGTGCTCTTGGGGGGGCAAGAAGTATACTGCTGTTCGTACAGAACTTCAAACTTATCCCTTCGATACAAAGGTATAACATCATTAAGGACGTCAAAAAAATCTGAAAGCTTATCAGATAAGGTGTACTGATACGTGTGGGAATAATCTTACATGCGACAAATGAATCAGCAAGATGCTTAGGTGGAATTGGCACTTGTCCTCGATAGTCTAGGCCCTGCCATACGCGGAGTGATTCATGAAAAGGAGGGCATGCTTGTATTCGCCTCAGGATGAGATCCGATAGGTCCGAGGAATTAGTTCTACTGGATATCCACTGTAATCCAGCAGGAGAGAAAAGAGAGAGACTCGAAGCTGAGCCTGAAGCGTGTAGGTCGTCAGCACAGTTTCTATATATTATAAGAAGATCCATATTTACCAATAAAAGTAGAGGAACCCTCATCATGAAGTAATAGCATTGAGAGTTGGTCATCCAGATCAGTTGATGTACCAGTAGTGGCAGGAGTGGCAGCCTCACTTGCGAGGCCTGACGCGGCCAAGATCGACTCCATACGCTCAATCCGGCTTTCCATATCTAGGATCTTTCCTCGCCTAAATGACGGTAAATCAAAGACGTGATTCAAATTTAGATGTCTCTGCACACTATTTCGGCCATGCTTACTTACCTGTCTGGTTTTGATGTCTTTCGGGGATGGAAAGTTGTGACACAATCATCGCCTCGTTGTAGGCACCGAGCACAGCTCTGGCCTTCCCTCTGGCATCTCACCTATTGAAGAGCAGGTCAATCATCGGATACCCGCGGAATACCCAAGTAACTTACCTTTGCAGCCCTACACTTATCACACGATGTCCGCAACGCGTGGCCGAAAGGCGGATGAGGATCCATATTGGACTAGATTAGTAGGTATATTTTTTGTCGCTAGATGAAAAATATCGGAGTGGTTAGTGAAGTAGGAGATAGAAACCCGCGATCGCTCACCTCGCTTAAGATAAATGCAAAAAGTAAAATAAGACTAGTTCTCGGTTTAAGAATCGGAGTGGGTCTACCTTAATCTCTAGACCCTGCAACCTTGATTGCCCAGGATCCGAATCGCTTCCAAAATACTCCGTAGTGGGTTATCCTTTGTGGTTGATTTCTTGGTTAAGGTAGGTATCAATGGTGGAAAGACTAGTAGCCCAGCCCGTGACCGTTTTAGACTCTTAGTGGCGCCATTAACCTCACGTGGCGAATTTGAGACCATAATTAAATCAGGTTGCATATAGAAAGCTGTATACTGTGTATAAATTGGACTTTGCTCATCTTCAGTGACTAAGCGGCCATAGACTGAATCCAGTTCCGGTACCTACTTCGCATCATAGTTGATTATCCATAGAAATTGCTGTTGTTTTAAACCCTTTGTATTGTGTAATCTCCTTTTTGAAAGCACCCATTTTACACAATACTGTAAAAGAACCACCCAACTTACGTTATATAATACTATCTTCAGGCGTCGAAGGTGGGAACGCAAAGCCCTATGAATCTTGGCAATTGAATTACCTCGGCCCCGTGTCATCCTTATGATTGAGGATCCACCACGGAGTTAACGCTGACTACTTACTAGTAGCATGCCTTCTTCCGAGTCACTTCGAGAACCATCCACCACGGTAAATGTGTTCGAGCAGCTGGTGCTAGTTGATAAACAAATCCTGTCATTGCCAGTTGATAGCTAAAGGCACCTAGCATATTCATCCATGGGGTATGTATGTACAAAACGTGGAATGCCGTTCATAGTGCGAATAAAGTAGAGAAATCATTTGATCAAAGACAATAGCGAGAGGATAGATGCGCACAGGGGAATGAATGGGTTAAAGAGGCAATGGGATTTGGAAAGCCATAAGGACGATGATATGTTTAGGGGACATAGATGACAAGAAAAGAAGAAGAAGGGCTCCAAGTACTCTATGCCAGAAACGGGATACAAGACAGCCAACACTAGATCAAAGCATCTGCGTCTAATTACCCAATCTATATGTCATGACCACTGTTGCACGGTAGACTGAGGAAGTTCACGTGCCTTCAGATCCCATAGTTATTTCCGTCATATCGCCTTCTTGTCATGTCATTGTTATTGCTGGGTGTACTATGAACACCGCCCTGACCATGTGTATCATCAACTCCCAGCGTTGACTGGTACATAAGAGCTTCTTGTGGCCAGTCGCCAGCACCGACCTCCAGCGCTTCAGGCCGCCTATCGTAGAAATCAGGTTGGCTAGTTGAGAAACCACCAGGAACACTAGCATGCTGTTGTTTATGGGCAAGAGAGTCGCCCCTGGGAGGGTTACGGTAAGGCAAATTTTCCATCGCGGGGGAACTTGCTTCCATTGCTGTTGTGGCCGTTGAGTTAGCAAAATCACCGAAGTCGAATCCAAAGTCAGGGTTTCCAATTGTTGCAGGAGCTTCAGCTTTTGCCGGAAGACCTCCAGCAGTTGAAGATGTTGTCGGTCGTGTCGGTTCCGCGATGTGTGGAACTGAGGGGACTGTTTCGGGAATGGCGATCGGGCTATCAGTCGTCGGTCCCTCTCTTTCTTGCGTAGCAAGGTAGGAACCATGTGCTTCGGGCTGCTCCATAAGCACTGGAGCTGGTGAGCGAGGTACAGCCGAGTCACTATCTGGAATCACGGTAGATCGTCGGGTGCTGTTGCCCATCATGCTCCCGGGTTTTGAGCTTCGGCTGACGCGATGCTGAGGGGCTTCCGAGAAAGGATTTTCTGGACCCTCCATATCGCGGATACTGAATTGGGCGATCGATCGTAATTTTCGTGTGACCCAAGATGCTAAGACCTTGCCTCTTTGTTTTTCGCCTAGTCGGGACCGAGGGAAGTCTCCATGAGAAACAAATGCCACGATATCGGCAACAACTTGGTGCTCGTTTAGAATAGCGTCAACAATTACAGGCACGAGAGATGCTAAGTAAGCCTTCCTTGTAACTTCAACAACAACAACTATCAATCCACCTGCCTGGAAGACAGCACTATATCAATTATTTAGCAAATGCATGCCATACTGAAATACTATGACTGTTTACTTACCAGCCTCCAGTCACAATGTTGCGGTGACATCTCTCAACGGAGTTTTCAATATCCATTGGGAAATGATTGAGACCATTGACCTCAAAGGTCTCACCGATCCCTCCAAGGACAAATAGTACTTGCATTTCGACGGGCTGTCCTCCAGGGCCAATGGGTCTCGTGACAGTGTGGAGGAAGCCTAGATCACCGGTACGTACGTAGGCCACACTAGGGTCACCGTCGACAATCCGCCCGTTGAAACGCTCGTGGTCAAAGTCTTGTTTAGAGCCGTAGAATGCCTTAGCGCAAGCATCCGACTGTATCCAGATCTCGCCGTATTCACCCACATGTGACAAAGTACAGGTCTCCGGGTTCACAATAGCTATTTGTGTATTCACCGGCACCATTCCAGAGTCTTGGACAGCAAGGGCAGTCGGGTCTGTATCAGGATCTACGGGACACACTAGTCCCCGACGTAGAGCCCGAAGGTCAAGCCATAATTCAATCGGTTCGATGCACATATATGATCTCGTAACAACCATCGGGTTGAGGACATGAGAATACACAATGTTGATTGCGGTGCGGTCGAGACTTGCAGAAGCAAAGTGCAGACGCACCTTCTGGTCTAGAGGCAAGATTGTGTTAGCATGCCTGTTTTGATCGATGAATCATAAGGTACATACATATATCGATACGTGGTCGACCTTCAGCAGATATCATCAAGTTCTTCAGTTCCTGAAGTTGGAACCCCTTCCCAGCCATTGCAGTCATCGCGTAATCCAACATCTGACTGGTAGCATACGTGTCTTTGATCTTATAGCGTGAGAGAGTGACGAAAAGTGTCATAGGGTTTGTTGCGAAGTCGACAGGTGATACGAGGTATGTCGGTGCCCCTAGAAGCTTTGGTTAACCCGCAAGGCATTTATCTTAGGCTTATTGGTACTGCTTACCAACATATATACCCATCAAACAGGTATGGAGGAAGCCAAGACTTAGGGTGCTGCGAACGCTACCTAGAACTGGTCTTGCACTGCTCATCTGGCACGTCTCTTTTTGTACCTTGCACATACCCATGATAGTGTCGTGGCCGATATGGACCGATATCCTCCTCTGATCTGGCGTCCAATAAGTCCACACCATGGCCGGTGTACTTCCCTGTAGCCATGCATCTTTCACAACATAACCGAGCTCCCGACAGCCGTGAGACTGTTTCGTTGGTTTTGTGGTGTTGTAGATTGCCGGTACACCAATTCGAAGAACCTGTGCAGACTGCTTGATATGCTGCGAAACAAGCTTTTGTCTCATCACATGATCAACATCGCTGTTTACAATGATGGCTTTCACATTGAAATCATTGATAACATGTAGGAAAGCTGGAGCATCTTCCGAGAGCCGATTTTGGTCAATAGGGGGAAGAGGAATGGCAACCACCCCTAGACAGAAGCAAGCATGAACTGCATAAACGTATTCTTCTGAGTGGGTATACATAAGCACCAAGTGATCGCCTGGGCGAACTTTGACTTTATTTCTCAGATAGGTTGCTACGGCAGCAACTTTCAAGTCGAACTTTTTCCAAGTGATACCCTTCCCTTCCTTTCCACGGCCATCGATGGAGCAATAAGCTAGCTCTTCTGCCTGACGAGAAACACGCCAATGAAGAAGATCCACGATGGTTGAAAAATTGCTCAGTGGCGTCGATGTGCGATCATCCATGACGACTTCACGGTAGTCTACCCCAGAATACTGCTTTTCTTGCATGGAAAGCATTTCTTGTCTTGACATCAGGGCTAGGGGAGACCAGATTCCTCCGACTGGGTCAACTCCAACTGGTAAATTCATAACCGACCGTTCAACGCCGAACTTCACGTGAACACAGGGTAAAGTTCCAGAATCAAAGTCTCTGCGACAGAGCATGTTACCGATCTCTTGCCTGCCATTCTTAGTGACACGGGGTAGAGTGTTGGGCGCGGTGAGTAGCACACAGTAGACGCGCAAGTGATGCTCTTGATAGAGGACTTCCATGCACCTTTCTGCTAGAGATTCAAGGAGAACCGAGTCCAACTGCCTTGGAGGCCCACCAGAGGTTGCTGGTGCCGTGGACGCCGCGTATGACTCTAGAACCACGATCGGTAGGTGTTCTTCGTTGACAAAAACATCGAAGGCCGTACAATCATGTACCTTAGGTACGTTTTTCAAAAGACTGACGACCATATGTTGAACGAAGAAATAACGATGTTCAACGATTTCCTGTCCGTGTTCCACCCATTCGACCTTTTGACGAAGACGGTCTTCATAGAGGCCCAGCACAAATATCTTGCCTTCGATCACACAGCCCAGTAGACCAGTCCGCAAGAACTCCGGCTCCACCAACACGGGAGTTGGGTTTCCCTCCTCGAACTTGTAGGGCCGTGCATGAAATATTGCTTCTGTATGTTTTGGCAGTGCCCAGAAGCCTCCAGAAAGGGATGGCGAGTCCACCCAAATCTCTCCGATCACATTCGGTGTGCACAGCAAATTTGTCTCAGGATCGACAACAGCCAGTGTGGCATCAGGGATAGGATAACCGAACGAGCCAACGCGCACAGCATGTGGCATAGACCCGGCGAACTTTCTGGCCTCTTCACCCATGGCCAAGACGACAATTTCGTTGCTTTTCAAGGCCTCTTTGTCGAGAAGGACTTCTTGGAGCTCATTCTTTGTTTGCTCCTTCGAGACAGGAGCCGGTGATGACCCCCCACCCAACAAACTGCTGCCAAACCCGCTGTTATCTTTAGTCTTCTCTGAGTGTCTCTCCTCCTTCTTAAAATCCTCACGCTCATTTGGATCCATTTCATGAGT